CGCTCGGGCCTCGCTTCGCCTCGCCCGAGCGCCTAGGCGAGCGCCCGAGCGCCTTTTGCAATCACTGATTTTTCTTACCCCAATTCCACCTATAAATGTTGCTAACATTGGTAAAATTTTAAGCAAAGCAAATAAGGAACTCATGCCATGTTTACATGAAGTGGTACTTTCTCTATTATATCACAAGTTAATTGCCTAGTTTGCAACACCATTGTTACTTGGAGCTTCATGTTTTTGCATCCATGTATGCAGAAGAGTGAATAATGAGTGGTGTGTATGTGTCTCGGTTGAAAAAGATGATATCTAGAAGAATGTTTTCTTAAGTTATGAGGAATTCAAGTTTTGTCATCAAAGAGAATCTCATGCCAAGATGTGTTTCATCATACTTCATCAGCACCAACTATTTTCTACTATAGCTAGGCACTTCTGGCCAATTCAGGCCAGAACAGGGGTTGTGTTGACATATCATGCAAAGTTGTATTGTGCCAATCGAAATCCCATGTCATCAATATTTAAAACCTTGAGAAAATTTGATAGCAATCAGAGTCTCAAATGTATAACAGGATCCTAGAAAAACAACTTATTAAAGCTACTGCATGTCAAAGAAGTTTTATGATGGTAATAAAATTAAGGTTTCAGAAGCATATGACTAATGGAGAAATGAACCCCTAAACAGAAGAACCGAATTGTATGATATGACAACTGAGACATACCTGTTCCTTAAAAATAACGGTTGCAGCATCTAAAAGAAACTCTCTTGCAAGTTCAGGACTCTTAGCATGCTTCTGCGATCGGGAATTATCATCATCTAGTTCATTTTCATCCTTGTCCATTGCATCATCATCCTGTTATTGCACATAACGAAAGAGCCAGGCAATATAGAACATAAGGAACAAAAAGAAATTTCATAAATATTAATAGTATCACTAACAAATATTTTTCTTCTAAAAATAATAAACATTAATTTCCCAGTGGCAAATACCTCTTCTTCCTCAGCTTCCTCAGCATGTTCAAAAAACCTTCTAATACTTTCCCCCTCAGTAATTGTCACAAAACCATCCCCTACTATGAGTCTACGATGGACACAATGTTGTCCCTTGAGTGCATGAGCCTTTACACAGAGTTCAATGCAACGCCCATCGAGCTTCCAAGCTCTCAATGTAATAAAGCATGCACCCAAACCACCCAGATTAAGTCCAGTTTCTTCAACTTTTCCATTCATGCCGACATCTTTGAAATCTAAAATGTCAGTTTGTCCTTCTCCAGTCCCAATTGCCCATTCAAAATGGTGATAAGTTCCAACCATATCAGTAAAAGACTGGTTCCAATCAGCTTGAACAGTATCCTCTGACACCTGAACGTGCAAAAAATGTCAAATTCATTTGGTGCCTTAAGTAACAAAGAATACTCCAAAGTTTTTATCATGGATTAACATTTCAGGTACCAAAGCCATGCTGGTAACAGGCCGGACCAGTAGTCCGGTACACACTGATACTGACATATGGCATGCCAACATGTACCGTGGAACTTTATTCAAGTATATATGGTGTCGGAAGACGCATGCTGCGGTCTGTGTCACCGGCCTGACAGGCCATCAAACCAGCATGTACCGGTCTGGATGAAACATATAACCATGGTTTTTATATTGGTCTATGTAACAACCATGTATCTAACATGACACTTTGAAAAGGCAAGATAAAGACAACATAGATTATCACTGATGATTCTGGCAAAACAAACCTCATACTGGAATGCTAAATCCGCAACACAAAACCACCTAGTGCAGCGAGGTTCCTTCCGCATGCGCTTGAATTCCTTCAACTCTTTGAATTCACGGATGACATTTCGTCTACAATCTCTGCAAAACCTTTTGTTGTCAAACCTGCATCATTGAGATTGAATTTTACAACACTAGGAAGTTAAAGAATACTCAAAAAGGTGACTGTTGTAAGCAGGAGAGCCAAGTCCCTGCATAGTGCAAATGTGATTCACATTTAAACATTGTAAATGTTACTAAAAGAGCAACATCTAGTACCAAATAAAAGAATACAATAAAGTTCAAATAAAAGTAATAATAAGCAAAATTAATCAACTTGAATGATAAATAATAAGTAACGATCTAAGAGATTCATACTAGATCTATGCACTATTTCAAAATTACAGTTTGAAATATTGTTCAGACCCATATGTACCAGTCTTTACCAATCCAACCAAGAATATGCAGTATACCAACATCAAAATTGTCATTTATTGGTCAGATCAGTACATACCAATCCTTATCAGTCAAGATTAAGGACCAGTATCTGATCATATAAGTTGGCAAGCTTTTCTTTTTTTGGATGATACCGGGCTAAACAAGTCAGTGTACTGCTGGGTCTACCAGTTCCGTAAGGCATTCATATGAAAAATCACATATATGCTGCCTGGTACATACGGTGTAATATATGGTTTATAGACCAGATAGAATAACAATGTTGAATACATCATATGAAAGGAAATCATGCAGCCACAGACTGTATATTAACACATTAGTCTTCCATATCCACAAACTCATTCAATCAATATATTGCAGGAGTTATTTTGGAAAGTTACACAGATTTCAGTATTGATTTAAAGAATAGATTGCAGAGCTTGTAGAAGGAATCAATTATGCATATACCACTTCACTTATAAGACCCATGATCAGTTAACATATTAAGACGTAAATTTTCATCAAACATCAAAGACTCTCCTCTTACATTCTTATTCATATCCCTCCAATTCTTCTCTCTTCTTCACTTCTTTCAAACTCCTTTCTTTTGAAATGTAACCAGATATTGCAAACAGATTTCTGTTGGCACATCAAGCTAATATGATAAAAGAAAATATTGAAAAGACTTCTAATATGAACATGAAAGTCAGAGCAGGAGTTAGTCAAATGTAAACTCTAAAAATATAAATAAATTAGGAATTTTCTCAATAAAACAAACCAGAAGATTCTTTTATCAAAAAAGCTTGAGTACCTGTTCCATAATTCATATCTCAAAGCATGGTTTTAAAAGTTAGTTTTCATTTTAGATATATTTCAACATTAAGGAGTCTTTATTTTAACCAATGGAGACCAAGTTTTGAAGTTTAGGCCAAAAGTCCAGAAAAGCAAATGAAGGTAAAAAAAGAAATAACTGGAGATCATTCTTAGCATGTTGAGTTTGCTAGGATCTAGTTTTGAAGTATAATTATTTATAGGATGAAGTTAGTTTCAAGGCATCAAATCGACAAAAATCATATGGAAAATGCATTATCAAAAGTTTCCATTCTACATATAAAATTAGGATCGCCATGATGAATGAGGAACATGTTCTAGTCTCAAGTCCATATTATCACGGACAAACTTCTAAACAAGATATTTGATGTAATGCTTATGTATGTCCGTGTCTTTTGGTATGTTCATACTTTGACTAGCATGTAGAGGGATAGCCGAAGGCTTAATAGTCTCATTTTAGTTCGGTCTGTAATGGATCATTTTACCCTTTATTGTGCAACTGTTCAGAGCTTGTAAAGTCTGTTTGTAATTTGCATTGTCTATGAAGTGTTTTCAGAAATGTTTGCTTGTGGATCCCGAATGAGGTGTTTTCTCTAACCCGTTCTCTCTTTTGTGGGTCCTAAGGGACATGGGAGGCTTCGGGGAGGCTGACCTTTGCGGACGGACACGCAAGGCTACCGCACGACTTAGGCAAAACCAGCTAAGTCCATGACAGATGGTATCAGAGTGGGACAAGCACTCATAGAAACACTTAGCATGCAAATGTGGGGGACCTAGCGGGGCTGCGTTGAGGGCAGTTAGCACACGCGTGACCGTTTGGGGGAAAACGGGCATGGAGATGTAGGGAAAAGGAGTCGCTCGGAGGAGCGGACATCTGAGATTGACATTCAAAGGAATGGCCAACCCTTCGCGCAAGAGGCACCACGAGAACAGGTAAGGCTGGAAGAATACGGAGCGCACAAAGGTTGGGATGGCTGAGTTTGAGCTATGGCTCAACGTTGACAACTATACTTGATGGTGCTCAAGACAAGCGAGGCGCTTGGTAAAGGATGAGACCATCCAAGGTGGAATGAGTTGCTCAGCGATCGAAAGAGTTGTGCAAAGCTCACAAAGATGAGGGGAATTGCTAACTCAATGAATTCGGTACTCATGCATGGGCTTATATGTGGACGATAGAATGTTCGCGGCCATCCCAAGGTGATCGAAACTCGGCGCCATGGAGCATTGAAACTTTCTCTTTAGCATGTGAAGGATACGTCCGTAGGAGGCTGAAGTGTGCAACGAGTTCAGCATGTTGCTAGGACTTGAGTGGTGCAGCGGGGGCTGTATTGACGTGGAGTCGCAATCTAGCAAGGGTGTTTGCAGAAGGCAAAACAATGCACAGTTTATTCAGCAGATCGGAGTAGTCCAAGGGGATGGTGGTCTCCGAAACGAAGGGAGATGTTGCTCCAATGGGACAGTTATCCAGGAGGGATAAGTCTCGGCTCTCCAGAGGGAGAATCATGTGGGACGGACCTCACATGTTGAGGAGTACCTCAACAAACAACAACTCCACGAAGCTCAATGGACTGAGCAAGCGACGAGGAGTCATCGCATGATCTCATTCGAGAGAATGTATTGGTGGATGCATTGCGAGATCAAGTGGGGGAGCGACCCAAAGCAACACAAATGAAGGCACACTTGGAGTCGATATGGAGATCAGACTCAAGGGAGGGCTGACCCGTGGAATGGTGGGCGCGAGGGCTACCATCAACTCTATGCAAAAACGAGGAGCGGAGCAACTTGGGTGTAACTTGGCGATGTACCCAAGCCGTATGAAGGGAGCCAACATAGAATTTGGAATATGGAGCAGAGGCATAGTGCTTTCCTTGGACAGAGGTCAAGGACATGAACTCTTGTAGAGGCAAGAGCAGGATCATGTTGTTCCATGGGTCATTCATTCTGATGGAGCGGACTCATCTTGCATGGTGCTAAAGACAAAGGGAGCTTCTGGGCACATGCACCTTATCTCGGAGGAGCATTTGATGGAGGAACTAAGGCGCCTCAATTTGCGGAGGCGAAGTTGGGTTCAGAAGGCCTTAGCACGGGGCAAGAGGACTCAAAGGCGGGTACTCTTGAAGAATATGCCACAGTGTTGCCATTCAAGTTACCATGAAGGAAGCGGTGCGCAGCGGAGATTGTGCTGGTAGGGGCAGAGGCCCAGGATCCAGACAATGGTGCACTAATTACAGCGAAGTCGGTGAACTTCGGGAGCTACTAGGCGATGGACTGTCCTAGAACGGGGCTTCATCTAGGTGTGACCCAAGAGTGGGTGGATGAAGGTCGATTGCCAAAGGAGCGAACAAAATCGAAGGTGAAAGAGACCCTACAATGTATTGGCAGAGGCCACACATGGAGGGATCACAATTCGAGTTCATCCTACAAGGATCAGAATGCAATAGAGATGTCACCAGGAGGCGACATGGTGCAGCAGATCGTGGTGGAACAGTTCGTGGCAAATGCGATACACACGATCTATTCCCGTGAGGGACTAGATCATATGGAGGTATGATCGGGAGCTACTGGAAGCTCCACTTCGGTGAACAACACGACGACAAGAAGGGGTATGGATTCAAGGAGTGAAGCCCATGGTACCGTAGAGGCGAGTCTTCCGTACGTGCATCGAATTTTGCATCGGATGAAAACCTTGGTCATCAGCATATGGGGGCTAGGTTCCACCAAGGGAAAAGTTCGAATGTAAGTACCAGTGAGTCCCATGGGAGGGACTTGATCATACAGAGGTATGATCGAAGCAGCTGGAGTGTTGGACAGCTCCAGAGCTCATATTCGCTAAAGGGAGCCCGGCATGTCAGAGGACAAGGTCGAGTAAGCGAACGTTGCTACCAAGGAAGCTAAGGAGAACAGAATCGGTGCAAACCCTATAATGCGATGGCAGAGGCCATGCATGGGAGTTGCAGTCTGTCTTTCCATCGACCAAAGGGAGCTGCTTGGAGAACACAGAGGTGTTGAAGCAGGGGGTCGAAAGGGGCGAGGAAGCGACGACGAGTCCAGAGGGACTTAGCTACCCAAAATCAAGCATCAGTTAGAATGGAGGTGGACTCGAAGGAGTGCCACAGAGGCATATCTACTGATTGTGAAGAAAAGGGATGCAGATGCGAGGCGACGGATAGTAGTGCCATGGGCATGGCAGCGTCATAGTACCGCAGAGGCGGGACTTCCGTGAAAGTCATTGATCCCTTGCTCTCATGGAGGGAGAGCGCTTGGTCGTGAAAGGGGCCGAGGAGGTGGAGCATGCAGAGGCAAACTCCTAGTACCGAGACAAAGCTGAAGGGCAGAGGCAAAGGAACTTCGTAAGACCGGTTTCAACGAGCTTCCCATCAAGATAGCCGAAAGTAAAGGACTTCGGGTCAGGCAAGAGTGCATGACTAAGGAACGAAACAGACAATACGCGGTGCTGTACCTTTGCTACTCAGTGGAGTAGGCGGCAGGGTTGATGGAGAAGATGGTACAATCCCAGAGACGACCAAATCTATTAGAGAATTACTCCAAGTTGGGGTGAAACTTCTTGCATTCCAGAAGTTCGATGGCATTGAGAAGGTGAATCACAGTAGCTAACTTAACGCAAGGAGTGCAAACACTTCAAGTGCTTCAGAAGTGTGAGCAAAGAGTAGGCGAAGGCCAGTAACCAGCTCGATGCATGGAGTACAACCTCGAGGAGGCGGGCGAAGTCAAGTAACCTTTGTCTTCTCAATCCTTAAGAGAATGGGCGAAACCGAGTACCCCAATTCTCTAATCTATCTAGCAGAGGAGCTCTGCACAAGTTCAAAGACTCTTCGAAGATAATGGAAGACAATAGTTGT